ACCACTAGGATCGTGCCAGTAATAACTGTCAACTTTTCCAAGATGGGAACAGCAGCAGCATATTAGGGAAAAAGAATGGGAGGAGTTGGAAATTGACTGTCCTTGCAACCATTAAGAATCAAAATTCAAATATTTACTCTTTTTTTCCTAAAAACGAATACTCCCTTAATTAACTAACCATCTGAGACTTTGAAAACTATTTATTATTTTACAAAGTGATGAGAACACCTAAGAAAAGTGACTGCTTGACACTTCAAATATATTAGATGCTGCAGGTTTTGCTTAATTAAAATTTCTTTCACTGTATGTTTGATTAAATATTTCAATATGACTAGCCAACCACTTTTCAGGATCTAACTCGTAAATTTACTAAGAATACTTAATCTTAGTGCTCGAGGACACTACCCTACATCAAGCAAATTGAGCAATTGACTAACATGGGTTGCAAAGATATGAAATCTATTCTGGAAAGAAAAGAAGTTTTGAAAACTATTTTGAAAAGGTTAAAGTATTCAAGCTGACTGCATCAACTAAGTTCATTCCCATGATAGTCAAACTAGTTATGTTCTATGACATCAATATAAAGTGCCTTAAATATACCACCATACAGGAAATGCATTTTCAGGTTTGCTTTTATAGTATTACAATGATTAGTTGAAAATCGTAGTAAAGAGTATCAGATTTGCTACCCTAATTTGTGCAGAAGTAGTTTGTGAATGTTCCCATAGTGATGGAAGTTGTCATCTGGTTTCTTTTAGTTTTTGTTCTAGGGACATGTAAGCGAGAAATCCATCTGATTATGAACATCTATGCTGAATGTTTGAGAACAAATATGTAATACTTGCTGTCTATTGCTATTTTCACACCTTTATATCAAGTCGAAGCTGGGTTTATATCAAATTTGTTTCACCATGTGAAACAAGCTATTAACTTTGTTTTTCATCATTGTATGACAACTTTTTCTTCCTAGTTTTGCATGTTTGCCTGGGGCTTTAATGTTGTTTATTTAATTGTAATTCATGGTTCATATAGTTGAGTTATAATTTTCATACTATGAAATAGACAAGTCTCTATAGAGGAAGGAGAAGCCAAGGCACAGGAACTTGGTGTTATGTTTATTGAGACAAGTGCAAAAGCTGGCTTCAATATAAAGGTACATTTTTCCCATATAAATTTGTCTTTTTCTTTTGGCCAGATAATGGAAGAATGAACTATTAAATTTGACAATAACATATTTTTACACTTATGCTTTACAAATTATTATTAAAGCAAAGAGGTGCCTGATAAAGCAGAGCCAAAACATCCTTCAGAGGCATTAGGCATGTGGTTGACTCTTCTGCTGTCCTCCTTTGTAACAGTTTGTTTTTGAGCAAATAATCACTTTGGTGATGAACCTTAAATAAAAGTGATGTATGAGAAACAGAACATTTTAAAAGTGAAATAGGATTTGATCTATTTTTACCCGAGTGGATTGAGGCTCTAACAAAGTGGGGAGGTCGTCAACCAATACCAGGAAACTAAGAAGATCACTTGGTTAATTTCTGGCATGCTACTCAATTTATTCACTGATACATTTTTCAAAGGATTTCTCAACTCCTCATTTCAGATTGTTAAGGATTTTGGTGTTTGGCATCCATTATTGAAGTGATCACTAACAGCTGCTTTGGTCTTTTTAGGCGCTGTTCCGAAAGATTGCTGCAGCTCTGCCAGGGATGGAAAATCTTTCTTCAACAAAGCAGGAAGACATGGTCGATGTAAATCTGAGGGCGACAAACGCAAATTCATATCAGTCGCAGTCACAGTCTGGAGGTTGCAGTTGTTGAACTCATCCATATTGGCTTCCCTCGACTTACAACCTGCATTGATCAACTAAGGGAGTGATGGTTTACGGCAGCGGTTTATGCAAATGAGCAAGTCCCATGCTATTCTGTGGTGTGCACTATTAAGTTATTTCCAGCATTTTCATTTCATATCTGGATCTAGGGATGTATTCTGCAATTGTGGGAAGGTATGCTTGGATTTTGTCTGAAAGTAATAGTCATAGTAAGTGACTGGTGTCCCTGTTAGCCTAGCTTAACAAAAATATAATAGTATAGTTTATTTATCAGATAATCCTTGATGCCCTTTATTGATAATTCATACTGTACTATCATGCATTGTGCTTGAAGGGTAGGGTTGAGTTACAACATGTGTGTACAACAGGCCTTTTCTCTCCAATCCGATGGATTTTTGTGCTTTGCCCTTCTAAGTTGTAGATAATTCTAGCATCCACAAATTGTGGCAGTTGTTTATTTCGTTTACAATGCCTAAATTATATTCTAAATTCTATTCTGCAAGTCATGACCAGTTAGAAAGTGCTGATTAGATCCATGCGACTTATTTTTCAACCAGGCAATCCTTGTGTATATTAAGACTGTTTGGGGACATTTTTTTATTTTTAGTATACAGTTGAAGAAAAGTATAATTATGGAATGCTGAAAATTATATTATATGTGTGCATTGAGGTAAAATGCTGTTTGGTAAAATTATATTTCAAAATTTTATTTAATACTTTATGATAAATTTATCCTTGTAAATTTATTGAGGGGCGATGATTAGCGATAGAGGGCCGTGGGTTGAGTCAGCAACAAAGGAGTGAGATAGGTTGACGGTCATGAGCGGTGACATGACACATAAGAGTGGTGGGGGGGTAAGTTGGGGGTGGTGATCGATAGCGATTTGGTGGGGCAATTATAGGGGCTATTTGAATATTAAAATATTACTTTTTTAAGAGATTATGAATAGTAAGCAAAGGGCTCTAAAAAGTATGCTTCCAATTTAATTACTATCCTAGTAGTTAATAAATTGTATGTATAGTTAAAATGGTCGAAAGGTTTGTCTATGTATAATGGTACGAAACTATGCATTTACTTTTAAATGTGCAATTCTTTAACGTGAAAATTTAATTTTAAGCGAATCTTGAAAATAAAGAAAGGGAGAAATCCATTCAAAGCAATTCTTCGAAGTATGAAGTTTGCTCGTTTACACACATATGTGCAAGACTTACTTTTTTTTTTTCTTTTTTATTTACACAACTATAGACCAAATTAAAATTTTCATTCTTTAATCGTAACTAACAATCGCACAACGGTAAAAAGGTAATGCCTGTAGGGGTAGAACCGCCAGCGGAATTCATCGTATTCCGCTGACCCTTCGTGACCGGTTGGGGAACAGCATCGGCCCTCCGGCGGACGCGTGCCTGCGATGGTGCGGGCCGAGCGCCGCTCTCGGTGTCTCGCAGGCGAAACCGAGCTCCGCCACTCGGGATCTCTGCCGGCAGGGGCGAGCAGTCACCAGCGGGCTGCAGCACATGGCGAATCCCGCGAGGCCGACGCCGTGACGGTGGTACTCCGTCGCCTCCCTCGGCGGGGGCAGTTTCGTACGCCGCGGCCGGCGCAGCGACTCGGCGTCGGAAACGCCCCCGGGATCAAGCGGCGTCATCCGGTCCCGCCCAAGCGCCGCGGATAACGGGCACGAAATGTTCTTGCTCCGCCGGCCATGGAGCAGCGTCGACAGCCAGAAGCTCGAACGCTGGGGCTGCTTATTACGGTTAGCCGATCCGTGGCGGCCGAAGAGCATCGAGACAATGGAGGACCGCCGGGAGCTAGCGGCGGTGCGAGAGGCACAGGGGAGAGGGTGGGGCGGAAGCGAGGGCGACCGGGGGGAGTCCTTCGGGCGTTGGTGATCCGGCGAGTGAGATGCCGGGGGGATGGTTGCTGCGAGGGCGAGGAGGCGCTCGCTGAGGCAGGGAGCGCAGACGCCGACACCGCCCTCGAGGGGGTGCTGCGTGCACTTCATCTTCCCCTCGTCTCCTCCATTGCATCAAGAAGAAGAAGAAGAAGTCGTCTTCTAATTAAGAAGGCGTGTCTTCTGTTTTGGTAAATCAAAGTCTATTCCTATGGTTATTGTTAACCTTCACGTCTGGTTTGAATCCGTAGCGTTGACCGAAGCTTCTCAGGTGGAATGACTTCAGGTACGTGGGAATTATGTGCATGGATATATATATGTCTTCACGCACTACCAAAACAACCACAAGGATTTAGGATATAAAATACAAGACCTAAATGACAAGAATAATGAAAATTGACTTGGTTAGATTGAGTCATTTGCTTCTCTCTTGCTGAAGTACCCGTTAGGAAACATGTCTTCGTGCTTTAGTGATTGATAGTGTTGGTGTAAACAACTTTTTAGCCGTGGCCTCGAGGTCGACGCGGCTTGGTTCAGGTCCGGATGACGGGTCGCCGATTCCTTCGGGAGGGGGTTCCTTGCCAACGCGCCTCACCTTCGTCCCTGCACACAGGTCGGACGGGAGAGCTCGACCCGACCCCTCCGACGATCAAGTCAGTGAATAATCGTAGGGGGGTTGTTGTCTATGTTGGTGTCCTCCTCCCTCCCTTTCCGTTTAGAATGCAAGGGTCTTTATAGGGGAGTTCGGTGGTATCTGATGTGCCTGCCCACAGGGGGTAGGACCGTACCTTCTGATGACGTCTGACATCGCTATTGGCGTAGCGTGCGGAGTCGAACCTGAGCGATCGTTAATGGGCCTCGGTTGGCGTTACGACCTGTGTCAGTCACGCGGTGTCAGCCTAACAGGGGCGCGGGGCATCAGCGGGTGTCACGCAAGTCTTATCGTAATTATTACCCTCATCAGATACTAAGTTTCTGGATGACTACTATACTAAGTACATGTTTCTTGCTCAATGTCCATTAGTAGCACCAAACAAATCACTAGCACCACTTCGTCACTTCATTATTTGCTGCATCTCATTGTTCTCCATGCTCTACATAGAAGATAGCCTTCTGCATAGGGTTAGGCTTGGATCAAACTGGACCATGGATTTCTCAGCAGTCTTAAGCATCATTCTTCTTATAAGATCAACTTCTTTTCCATTAACCTGTGTTCTGTGCTGGAAAAGCATCCTTTTGCTGCACCTTCTGAAGTCACTTAAACAGCATTTAAATTAATCCACCAAGTATGTGTTTGCTTCATGTGAAATTATCCATTGTAATATGCTAAATTACCATTACATAAAAAGAGGAGGATAATTTAAGCATGCATCCTTCAAGTCTGACTCCATGACGGGTCTCTTCATGCATGGCTTCCTGCAACAGGCATGCGTAAAAGTACATGAAGGATCGAGTTCCAGTTGGTCACACTAACTTCTCAAGGTTCTCCCAGAGTTTTGGATCTTCGAAGTTCTTGATGAGGAAGGTTGCTCCTGCATCCATCAGCAGCTGCTCCGGGTTTCTTGTCGTCAACCCCAATACAGGCATTGCTGCTGCGACCGCAGCTTCTATCCCTGACGCAGAATCCTGAAGAAGAAAACAATGATGAAGGCATGGAAATTAGACCAAAACTACATCATAACTGGTGGCGAGGAGAAGAAGAACAACCTCAAACACAAATGTGTGGTTAGGGGAGGCACCAAGATCCTTGAGAGCCTTCAGATAAGGGTCAGGATATGGCTTTGGTCTATCGCATTCACTGCCAACCACTATAAGCTGGAAGAAATCGGTCAGGCCAAGAAGCGAGATCATGAGTTGTGCATTTGCCCTCGGAGCATTAGTCACTGCAGCTCTCTTTAGTCCACGTCCTTCGATCCATTTACACAGCTTGTGGAGGCCATCCACCGCCTGCAACTTCTCCGGCGCCATCCTGCACGTTTCGCCTCTCTCAGAAATGGCGGATGATGATGGGTGCATGGTATTGGAATTAAACTTGTTGAAAGAGGTTAATTTCATTAAAAAAAAAAAAAAAAGGGTTCATTGCATCAAGTGAGATATTTATTACAGAAAAATAGATTAAATGTCTATGAAAAAAACTGTGACTATTGGTTGATTTCTTAAACGAAAATAATTCATTTTGAATATA